CTCTATTGGTAGACTCTTCCAGCCTCACTGCTTACTTAAGCAAAGCTTGCGACTGCTTATGGAGTGGCCCGAGAGGGGTGAGCAGGCTATTTCTGTGGCCGTGAAACCGTTTTTAATGTTAGGCACACTGTTTATTGTTGATTATGAACGTCTTTTTACATTTAATTTATGAAGTTTACGTTTATGGGTGAATTTGACAGCGACAATGTTTCAAAATTAGGAAGAAAAGCAATGATCATTTTATTATATAGACGCTTCGCCACTGGGGCAAGGGTAGACTCCTAATAATCCCGAGACTGTTGTAGGCGCTTGGTTTTTCCTCGACCTTTGAACGCCCTTTAATCAGGTCTTGGTATACTTATATCGACCCCTGACCACGAAAGTTTAGAAGACAGCCATATTTGAAATCAAATTGATAAATAAAAATATACATATTTTTTTCAGTATTGTCATCTCTGCTTCATTGACCTCAGTATGAGCATTCACATCTTTAGTTGTATTTATTGTTTTGAAAAATCGTGGTACTATAGTAACATTATTTCCACCGCTTGTTTGAAAATCATGATTACATTTTGCCCCAAATGGGAATAAAGATTAATCAATGAGATATTTTCTCGAATATTTTGTCCGGTTAGATCTAACATACAACATTAATTCAGGATTTGTTTTCATTCACAATGCGGTCGTGCCACCTCAAAAAAGAATTTTTGTTAATAATTATGTTCCCATTGTGGGACTGCTTTTTGGGTGTGGCCTTATCTGTATCTGGTTTTTTGTCCCACTTTGATTAGAAGGCTACCCGAGCTCGTTTAATGGAACAATAAATTGTAAGTTTGAAGTGGTGAGCGTTTTATACTCATGAAAGTTGTATTGTCTTGCTTGAATGTTTGATCATCCTTCAGTTGAGAACACGTGCTCTTCCCACTAGCACTTGTGTTTGGTGGATGTTTGGCAGCTCCTCTGGTGTGGTTTGCTCCTTTTTTCCTATCAAACATCGATCATCCTTATCTCTCCTTCTTTTTTATATTTCTCTCGAGTAACGTTTCTAATCTTCGGTATTTATATTATAACCTAAATTGTACCTGTCGTAAAACTCGTACTAGCCTACATTTAAAAACTAAAATCCATGCTTCTCTTCCTGTTCTTCTCTGCATTCCCTTACTAGTCCGTTGGTTCTTCAACTTGCAGTACAAATTATCTTTTCGTATGTGACCGTTTTTCTTAATTCATAGGGGCCCTTGCCATCAGGTAGCCACATTCCGATTTCGAAGGTGCTCTAGATCTATATGTTTTTATTCTGATTATAAAGTGTTTTCAGTTTTCAGTTTTGGTAGGGATTTTGAATTTTCGCTTGGGTGGCAGCCAAAACCAACTCTAATCGATTTTGGAACCATCAAGGGCTCTTTATCGTGCGCAACTTGCATAGGGGACCTCCGACATTTTTGGCCCTTATCTGAAAAGGCTCGGTGCTTGATCTTACTTACCATAAGATCGGGGGTATGGTTAAAAAAACATCAGTAGCAAAAAAAAACACCAGGAGAACAGTAGAAAGAGTCAAGAGCAAAGGGGAGAGGAGCCCAGAGGAGGAAAGGAAGTAGATATGAAAGCAGGTGACAGAACAGGACTACTAGACTAATTAATAGGAAAGGAGCAGAAAGGTGAAAATTTTAGAGAACAAAATGTCTCGTTGCTGTCAGGATTCAAACCCGGGACCTGTTGGATTGAATGAGAGTAAGAGAGGCGAACACCACGTACCAAGAGAGACCAATTCCTGCTTCAAATTTTCATTAATTGTCTCTATTTCTTTTTATCCGCCAGGATGGGTCTTCTGCAGAGGTTCAAGAACTTTGTGTACCAGCTGATGGTCAGATATCAAGTGATTTTGTATCTGATTCCAGTACTGCAGCTATTTACAAAACATTTCGCAGATACTAAAAAAAGAGCCAATCACAGAATTACTGATAGAAGTGGAAAGTCCCTTCGGGCTTGCAAGTTTAATGGAAAATTGTTCCCAGCTTTTGGGTTAGAGAGACTCAGAACGATCCCCAACATCAGCATAAGACGAGATGACGTAATGCTGTGTGGCTACCCAAAGACCGGAAGTCACTGGGTGCACGAGATCCTGCACATGTTGGTCAACGGGAAATCGGAGCTAAGCAAACATGGAAAAGGGCTCGGTGGAATGATTGACGTTATGCCGGACATCATCATTGACTCTCTGTCTTCACCACGTGTGCTCAATTCTCACTTCGTGTATGAGGATCTACCAAAAGGTGTAAGGGAGCACAGAACAAAAATCGTCCTCACAGTAAGAAACCCAAAAGACACAGTTGTCTCGTTCTACAACCATGTTCGTAACCTGGAGGAGTTCTACACTTACACGGGAGAGTTCAAAGACTATTTTGAGCTTTGGATAGAGGGAAATGTGGACTACGGCTCTTATTTTGACTTTTACCTGTCCTGGGACGAGTTGCTCAAGAATCAAGAGAGGCACCCTGTGCTACTTGTGAAATATGAGGACATCAAAGCTCAACCCATGGAGAATATCAAACGCATAGCGCAGTTCTTGGAAGTTGACGTCACAGATAAATTCGTGGCCGAGATAGTGGAGAAAACCAGCTTCGATAGCATGAAGTCCAAGAGGGCTAAGGCCACAGCAGCAAAACTTTTCCGCAAAGGTAACGAGTTGTTCTTTTTGTATCGGTAGTATCAAGTTACTTTCTGCGTAATTCTTTGAAGTAAGTTAGTAAGTTTGTAAGTTAGTTAGTTATTTAGACAGTTAGTAAATACAATGTAGGTAAGTTAGTAAGTTATTTAGCCAGTGGATAAATTGGTAGGTTAATTAGTACGCTCTCAGCGATGATGCAGGAAGCATTCCAGAGCTCACCTTGTTGGTATCAGGTACCGACCGAACGGTAAAGTCTTCAACTCTCGTAGGCTGAAGACAAAAACAAAAACTAACATGATGCATGTTTGTGAACTGTTATTTGCCAATGATTTTTACATTGCTTGCCCATGAAGAATCCAGCATGCAAAACTGCGTTGATCAGAAATTTTTCAAATGCATTTGAGATCTTTGGATTTACAATAACCACACCAAAGACAGAAGTTCTCTTCTAGCCTGTTCCCGGTGATAGGCAGACTCTCCCTACTAAAATAAAAATACAAAGAGGAACACTGAACAATGTTGATAGTTTTAAATATCTTGGCAGTACACTATATTCAAATGCCCGCACCGATGAAGAAATAAGTGTGAATAAAGCTAAAACATCTTTTGAAAGACTTGAGACTGTTGTGGCATTCGTACAAAAACAAAGTTGGAAGTCGTTGAAAATGCTGTGGTCCTCTCAATCCTGGTTTATGGTCCTGAGACTTGGACGGTGTACCAAAGCCATACCAAGAAGCGTAACCATTTCCTCGGGAGAATTCTTGGCATCAAATGACAGGATAAAATACGGGACACCAAAGTTCTCAAAAAGGCAAAAACCGAGTCTGTTTTCTGAGCGCAAAAGGACTATATTTCGCTGGGCTGGCCATGTCGTAAGAATGCCTGATTTCAGATTCCCAAAGGCAGTGTTCTATTTTGAACTGTCCTCAAGAAAGCGTAAGGCTGGCGCACAAAAAAGTGCAACAAGGAGACCCTGAGAATGTATCTGAAGGACTTCAACATAAATCCTTCAACATGGGATAGCCTTGCTCCTGACGGACTCAGCTGGAGAGTAGTAGTCACAGTGTGCAGCAAGTCATATTAGGCTTCACGAATAAGAAATGATGAAACCAAGAGAGAAGCCCGCAAGCTGCGCTCATATCTAAAAATGGAAGAGGAGCCTTTAAATGTTCAAAAGGTGGCAAACTTTCCTCTCATCGGCCACAACAGAAGCTAAAAGTCAGTGTACGGTAACCTTTAAATCTTCAAATTCTTCTGTTTTGCAGAAGATAAAGTGAATTGGTCATCGTGAGTCATTGATGGCCAAGATGTTTTTATTATTATTATTATTATTATTATTATTATTATTAT